GCCCGGCTCATTTTTTGGATTTATTGTAGAGACAAAGTCTCACCAAGTTGCCTGGGTGGGTCTCGAACCCGCGGGCTCAGGTCATCCACTCGCCTCGGCCTCCCAAAGTGCTGGGACGACAGGCTGAGCCACCGAGCCCAGCCTGACACCTATGTTTCTATTCCACACCCAACATGCACAGCAGCATTCTCCCCTGCTATCTGGGTCATCTTTCAGGCAAGGAAATACGTCAGACTTCAGTTCCCTGCGCTCCTCTCCCCAAGTCTCAGGCACCTCCATGATGGCGATGTGTGGTTTCCGTGATTTTGTGTATTTCCTGCATGCATACGTATCCGTAGATACTGGGGCTGTTTTTTTGTTTCGTTTTATTTTTGAGTTGGAGTCTCATCCATCGCCCAGGCTAGAGTGCCGTGGCACACTCACAGCCACCCCAGCGTCAGCCTGCTGGGCTCAGGCAATCCTCCCGCCTCAGCCTTCTAACTTGCTGGAACTATAGGTGCGCGTTACCATGACCAACTAATTTTTGATTTATTGTAGAGAGGAGGTCTCGTCAAGTTCCCCGGGCGGGTCTCGAACCCACCGGCTCAGGCATTCCACTCGCCTCAGCCTCCCAAAGTGCTGGGATTACAGGCTAAGCCACCGAACCCAGCTAAGGCTCTTTTTTTTTAAGTTTATGTAAGTGGATTCACAGTGTGCATAAATAAAATGAGGCAACTTTTTTCACCTACCGTTACATTTTTGGAATCTATTTGTGTTAAAACACGTGACTCCAATTCATCTTAAGTTTACTAGAGTGTAGGCATTATACACATACCCCATGGGTCCCTACTGAGGGATGGTTTCACTATTACAAATACTGCTGCACAGAACACCCTCACACGTGACCCCTTGCAATATGTCCCAAGGGTTTCTTTGGGGGTGTTGACGTAGAAGGACGAGGTACACGGGGTATGCACGCTTTTACTTGTACTAGGTGTCAGCCAATAGCTCTCCAAGGACCTATCGATCTGTTCCCCATCAGTAGTCTATGTGTTCCCATTTGCCAGACGGCCCATCCCCATTATGAAACTGTCGAGCCTTGCAAAGGTTGTCAAGGGGATGTAGCCCATGGTGTCATTTTGTTGAAATATCCACTCCCTAGTCAGCACTGAGTATCCTGTCCCGCGTGTGGACATTGAAGAGTCCTCTTGCATAAAGTTCTGCTCACATTCTTCGCCCCCTGGCTGCTTCTATTGGGCCAGTCATCTTTTCCTTCATGGTTTATAAAAGACCTTGACTTTGAGTGCCAATTGTTATGTGTGCTGCAGTGTCTGCACTCAATCTGTCAACTGCACATTATGTTTCTACTTTTTTTTTTTAAGAGATGAGTCTTGCCAAGTTGCCCAGGTTGGTCTCGAACCCATGGGCTCAGACAATCCTCTCACCTCCACCTACCAACATGCTGGGATGATAGATGTGAGCCACCGCACCCAGCCACATTGCATTTCAGAATGTCAGTTGAGGAACCTTCTGACCACAGGACTCCTGAGGTGGGTGGTACGATCCCCAAAGTCAGAAGAGAAGAGTTCACACAGCAGCAAGACCCACACACATCAACAAAACCACACAACAGCCTGAACCATGCAAAGTGTACATTTCTGCTTTTCAAGGAATCTTTCAATCACCAAATCTCAGCCTCAGCTAGTGGGGCCCCATGCTCACCTGGAGCTGGGAGTTTTTTTTGGCGTTTGGTCACCAAGACCCTCTCAAGGGTCAAAGTCTGACTCATCCCGATTTTGCAGCTGGGACATCCCAGGCCCAGGAGCAGACAAACTTGTTGCCAGTCACAGCCCCAGGGTGGAGGAGGATCCAAGTCCGAGTCACCTGGTCCCCAGCACCTCACCTGGACAGAGTCTGTCTCCCCCAAGAAAGTCCACGTCAGGGAGGTGCTGATGTCAGCCAGGAGACTGAAGGTGGAAGGTGTGGAAGCCGAAGGTGTGGTTTCCAGGGAAGCACATCACCGCCAAGACTGGCTGAACCCCAAAAGGTGAGGGACCCTCTTCACCCACACAGACTGAGCCATCCCAGGGTATCTGCCCCAATTGTAAAAAAAAGGTCATGTGAACACAAGGATGCACTTTATTCAGTCACTTTTATTGGAGACCTGATTCTGCACTAAGGGCTCTATTGTAAGACGTGACCAGATTCCACCATTGGAGGTAAGATTCTGTTACAAAGATGGATGGGCAGAATCCGATGCTTTTTAAAAATGACTATCCCATGCAGAAACACTGATTTACACAGGACTTGTATATAAGACGGCAACAGAATCAGAGGGCCGCTCTTCTCAGTATAAGAGGAATCCACGCTGTGACACTCAATAGAACACTGGAAAAAGAAGACACCCACGGCAACTGGCATGAGAACGTTCACCGGATCTGTGACCGCCCCAGCCAGCAACCACTCAGAGAGAGGCTTCAGTCCTGCAGCCTAACTGACATCTCCTTGGCCAGCTCGGCATCACTGTGTCCCACTCGGGGGGTGGGGAGCTCAAGCAGGCCTGGGTGTATCCGGTGACCACCATGTAACCATTTCCGGGCACACTGTTTTCAGGACAGGCCTGTCCCACATGGGCATTCGCAAGGGCCACCTCCTCCATCTCCCCAGAAGCCAAACAAACCTGAACTAAGGAGGTAAAAGCCCTCTAGCTTAACTCCCTGCTGTGGGTGGGGTGTTTTCTTAGGAAGATTCAGAATCTCAGGCAAATGCAGCCTGAACATGCTACATCTCGCTTCACTGTGGCTTCAAATGCAGAATTACCTTCTTCTATTACTATAGGACGGGACTGTGTTTTGCCTTTTCTTTTCCCGACTGGCTGCAGGGTCTCATTCCTACCCAGCTCGAAGCGCTGGAACCACACCTGACCCATGGTGGATGTGCCCCAAGCATCTACAAAATGAAAGAATAAATGGGTGATGGTACCAGCCTCTCCTGCCAATTTGATAGCCCCGAGGAGTCAGCAAAAAGCAGGGTGGGTGAAGAATTCACTCGACAACTGTAGAAACAGAAGAGGTCCCCAAAGAGTCTCTGGTCAGCCCTCTGTGCTGGAAAAGCCATGCATGCAACTGTCCCTGACACACCTTCATGCTTATCGGCAAAACCTCAGGGTACAGCCTCTGGTCCTCCCATCGGCTTCTGTCCTCCATAAACGTTTTAAAAGATGGCCAGGTGCCATGGCGCAAGCCTGTCATCCCAGCATTTTGGGAGCCGAGGCGAGAGGATTGCCTGAGCCCAGGGATTCGAGACCAGCCTGGGCAACTTGGCGAGACCTCGTCTCTACAATAAATTAAAAAATCAGTCAGGCATGGTGGCATGCACCTGTAGTTCCAGTTACTTGGAAGGCTGAAACAGAAGGACCACCTGAGCCTAGCAGGTCGAGGCTGCGGTAGCTGTGAGTGTGCCATTGCATTCCAGCCTGGGTGACAGTGAGACTCCGACACACAAAAAAAATGAAAAATAAGAGTATGGTCAAACACTGAAGACAAATTCCTAAGAAACACGGTGCTAGCTGCAGGGAGCGGGAACCCAGAGCCTTTCCCTTGAAGACCTGAGTGAAGTCCCTGAGTGAACCATATGCCCGGGTACACTGGGCCTTGGAAAGCGCCCCACTAAAGGGTCCGGGCGGCAGGTGTCAGCAGAGCAGCCGTCCCAGGCCACGTGGTCAGGGTCTGGCCTTCCGTGGGCCCAGCCCCTGGAGCACAACTCAAGCCCTGTGAGCACTGAGGGCCGCCCTGGTGCCCAGGACGGGGTGTGTCAGTGGAAGGCTGCTCAGGCAAGCAGGAATCAGCACCTGTGCCCAAGTCCCCCTCCCGGCCACCTCCTCTGTGCTCCCGGAGCCGTCTGTCCTGAAAGCGTCTTTGAGGACAGTTGGTGGAAAAAGGAGAGCTGGACGGCTGGGCCCATACCGAGTGAGAATGGCACGGGGTCACAGCCACGAGGGAGACAGAAGACACAGGCCTTCCCATCGCCCCGGGGGAGAAGCCCAAGCAGGACAGCCGGAAGGGCCCGGAGGAAGGTTGTTCTATCTACAACCAACCCGCTGCTGCAGGTGGACAGGCAGAACCTCGCCAGCCCGATGCTGGGCACACCGGGGGGTGCAGCCTGAGTTGCAGCCGCCTCGGCCACTGCCTGCTCAGTTATAAGAGAGGTAATTGATGAGCCGTGTGGGGATGTCCAACTTGGCGATCTTCTCCAGGCCTCGGACGCCAGTGGCCTTCCTCAGGCTCACCCTGCAGAGCTGCGACAGGGTCAGAGGTGTCTCTAGAGAAAGGGAGCGAGGAAAGACACGAGGTCAGTTTCAGGAAGGAGCGCCACGTCCCGCAACCTGAAGCAAACGATGATGGCGTGGGAAAAGGCTCCGTTTTCCCTGGAAATAGGATGTGCCACCCTGCATGCCTCCTCTGGACGGACAGCCAGGGAGAAAGAAAAGCGTTCTGATAACATAACCCAAAGGTTCTGAAGGCTTGGAGACATGCTTCTCTGTCAAACACGTCCATTCTCTGAAATAAAACACATTCTAGCAGGGCACGGTGGCTCACGCTAATCCCAGCATTTTGGGAGGCCGAGGCAGGAGGATCACTTGAGTCCAAGAGTTCAAGACCAGCCTGGGCAACATAGAGAGACTTCACCTCTACAAAAAAATCAGAAAATTAGCTGGGTGTGGCGATGTATGCCTGTAGTCCCAGCTACTCAGGAGGCTGAGGCAGGAGGATCACCTGAGCCCGAGAGGTCAAGGCTACGGTGAGCTGTGATCATACCACTGTACTCCAGCCTGGGCGAGAGAGTGAGATTCCAACTCAAAAAAATAATAATAATAAATTCTGATGAACATTTCAGAAAGCAAGCTTCCATGGATGTTTTGTAGTGGGCTCTCTCCACTGGCCTATCAGCACCCAACGGAAAAAGAAACATGTTCTAATGACAAATTATTTTCTTTTTAAAGAAACAGAACTGTCTTGTTACAGATAATATAACTATCTTTATAGTAAATTCCAAAGAATATACCAAAAAAGCTACTATAAAAATAACTGAGTTTAGCAAGGTTGCAGAATAAAATATCAACATAGAAAAATCACAGCCAAGTGCAAAGGCTCACACCTGTAATCCCAGCACTTTGGGAGGCTGATGCAGGAGGATTGCTTGAGCCTGGAGTTCGAAAACAGCCTGGGCAACATAGTAAGACCTCGCCATTAAGAAAAAATTTAAAAATTAGCAGGATGTGGCAATGCATGCCTCAAGTCCCAGATATTTGGGGGGTGGAGGCAGAGGGATCACCTGAGCCCAGAAGGTCGAGGCTGCAGTAAGCTGTGATCATGCCTCCGCACTCCAGCCTGGGTGACAGAGTGAAACCCTGACTCAAAAATATGTATGTATTAGTTGTGTTTCTATGAACTACCAACAGCCTACTCAAGGTCTGCCTCAGGTCGGGGACCCAAGGAAGAGAGACGAGAAAATGGAATTCGGGTGATGTCCCCTGGGATTTCATTTCATGAGTTTTGAGGGTCGTTTTGTTTTGGAACCACAGCATTATAGCTCGGCACACAGATATGTCAGCAAAAAACGAATCTGCAGCTAGTGCGTTCATTTATCAAACATCCAGCCAATCGCGCCCCAGGCCCAGGGTCTGGGAAGACACCAGCACCAGCTCCTGCTGCCCGGGGCCACGGGCCTCAGGAACCTGGGAAGAACAGGTGCGCCTGCACAAACAGCCCCAGCAGACTACGCACTCAGCGCACCTTCTCATGGCAGAGGATGGGCACTCAGGACTAGGGACCACGCCCACTGCAGAAGCCTGTTGAGACTGGCAAGCCAGGGACCCTCCACCCCACCGCAGGATGGAGGGGCCAGGACACGCCTGGGGGGGCCTCACTTTCGTAGTACTCGAAGCACTTGGCGGGTGCGCTGCTGTTCCACGTGTAGTCGGCCGGCTTCTTCCCACGATTGTCGCGGGCGTAGATGTTGCCCCCAAACTCGATGAGCATCTCAATGAGGTCGACATTCTTCACCTTGGCCGCGTGGTGGAGGGCGGTCTCGTGGAGCTTGGCCGCGTTCACGTTGGCCCCTGGAGGTCAAGAGCGGAGGACAGCCTGCACCGGAGCAAGAGTGTGCGCCCAAGGGGAAGTGTGCCTGCGCACCCTCACTCCGCAGGTGCACAGAGGCAGGCCCCGTCCGAAGGCCCAGGCGGGAGAGGCGCCACTGCGGTGTGACCAAAGCCGTTTTCAAAACCCAAAAGCAGGAATTACTTTTTTTTCCTCATGAGAAGAAAGCTAGAGGTAAGTAGCCATAGTAAAGAAATATACTAGAAATACAACCATAAAGAAAAAAAGGAAACCAAAATTTCCTTGAGTTAAACATTAGCTCTGGCCAGGTGCGGTGGCTCAAGCCTGTTATGCCAGCACTTTGGGAGGCCGAGGCAAGAGGACTGCCTGAGCTCAGGGGTTCGAGGTCAGCCTGGGCAACTTGGTGAGACCTCGTCTCTACAATAAATCAAAAAATAGGCCAGACATGGTAGCACGCGCCTGTAGTTCCAGCTACTTGGAAGGCTGAGGCGGAAGGATCACCTGAGCCCAGCAGATCGAGGCTGCGGTGGCCGTGAGCGTGCCACTGCACTCCAGCCTGGGTGACAGAGTGAGACTCCAACTCAAAAAAAAAAAAACAAAAAACACGTAAGCTCCAATACCCTATGCAGTCTTCCTTCAGAGGTTGTGAGGCTTCTGGAAGGTCAGTCTGGGCCACCTAAGTGCTCCTGTCTGGCCTCAAACACAGATATACACTGCTTGTTCCTAGAGTGGGCACAGGACAGAGGCTCTAAAGATACTGGTTGAATGAAAGAATGAATATTCTGGCTGGGCGTGGTGTCTCACACCTATATTCCCAGCACTTTGGGAGACAAAGACAGGAGGATGACTTGAGGCCAGGAGTTCACAACCAGCCTGGGCAGCATAGCCAAGAACCCATGTCTACATAAAAATTTTTAAAAAGAATGAATGGGCCAGGCTCAGTGACTCAGCCTGTCATCCCAGTACTTTGGGAGGCTGAGGCGAGTGGATTGCCTGAGCCCAAGGGTTCAAGACCAGCCCAGGCAAGTTGGTGAGACCTTGTTTCTACAATAAATCAAAAATCAGTGCACACCTGCAGTTCTGGCTACTTGGAAGGCTGAGGCAGAAGGATTGCCTAAGCCAGCAGGTCAACGCTGGGGTGGCTATGTGTGTGCCACTGCACTCCAGCCTGAGCGACAGACTGAGACTCCAACTCAAAAAAAAAAAGAATGAATGAATATTCCTTAAACATAAATACTCTTTTATAAGAGGGGACAGCAAAGGAAAACAGGCAATGTACCCATGCAACAAGGAGTTCAGAAAAGAGAGTGAGTCTCTTAACCGTGATTTCAGCTCTGCCTTCTCCGGATAACGTCAGACATTCAGGAAAGTGAAAAGCGCTGCATACGGCACTTTTCCGTGCATTAAAAATATAAAGGTTAGCTGGGCTCGGTGGCTCAGCCTATAATCCCGCGCCTTTGGGAGGCTGAGGTGAGTGAATTGCCTGAGCCCGCAGGTTCGAGACCCGCCTGGGCAGCGAGACCTCATCTCTACAATAAATCAAAAAATTAACCGGGTGTGGTAGCGCATGCCTGTAATTCTAGCTACTTGGAAGGCTGAGGCGGAAGGATCACCGGAGCCCAGCATGTCGAGGCTGCGGTGGCCGGGAGCGGCCACTGCACTCCAGTCTGGGCGACAGAGTGAGACTCCAACTCAAAAAAATAAATAAATAAATAAAAATAAAGGTCTTGATAAAAATGCGACTTGTATAAAACATCATTCTCGGGGCATGGCCGTCACTGATTCTATACAACGGGATCTTCTGAGGCCTCGGAAGTGTTTTGGGGAGAAAATGCCATCTTCTCTGAAGTCTGCTCCTGAATAGACAGGGGGTTGTGAGGAGGAAAAGGTATTTCAAAGAAGCCGAGAAAATGGCCGAGCAAGAGCAGAGTAAATCCCCAGGTGGCAGGTCCAAACACAGCCACAAAGTACCACCAAAAACGGAGTTTGGAGAAAAAACAGACCACCAGCATGCTACCACGTCATGACAATTTTAGAGGGTCACAGGAGGAGACATGAGGGGTTACGAGGCCATGACATTTTCTGGTCCCTCTGCACAAAAAGCATCTGAAAAATTCCACTTTCCGCTTTCAAGTATCTGTCATCCCTAAGAAAACATAAGCACCATGTTCCCAGTGTGGTCCTAGGGGCACCGCCAGCCCGGTGACACAAGCAAAGAATCGTCCTTTCATCTCCCACGACCAGAATTGGAACTCAGCTCCGGAAAAGGATCCCTTGATGAGCAGGAAGGCTGGGCTGCCTAATGACTGTATCTGGCAGGAATGTGTAGCAAAAATTATATTAAAAGCAACACATGAAACAACGAATGTTTTCCCCACACTCCACTCTCTCCCATCAGGGATTTCTTCCAGTATTTGCGGACAGGAATGAATCACTTTACAGTGTTGCAATCATCATGCAAATGTCAACCGCAAGCTGAACACACACTTGCAATGAAAAGCAAATGGCAAAGTCCACCAAATCTGAGGTCCAAGCAGCTCTTCCTCCTATCCTTAATTCCAGCACCATTCTTGCCAGCTGGTGAGGAGAGCAGCTGTCTCTATCTTGATAGCAAGACAGAGGAAGAGGCCAAGGAGGCCGAGCCACTCTCACGGTCAGAGAAAACTGGCTGCGACAGCGCTGAAAGCCACCCTCTCTGCCACACTGTCCCTGCTCCTCACTCCACAGACAAGGCCTCGGGCGGGGGTGCTTTCAGAGAGCTGATCTTCCCAAGAGTCACCCTTAAGATGCTGCTTGGCCTCGCTGATGGGTGCAACGGAAGGAAGGTGAGTGAGGAGGGAAGTGGAGTTGTCAGCAGCATGGACGGCCTTGGGAGTCCAGCGCCAGGGGACAAAGGAGAAACAGTGAGGGCTGTGACCCAGCAGCACCGGTGCCCACTGAAAGCGCAGGCCTCAAGTGGGTGTGGGTCTAACAGACACTTATGGGAGGGTGGGCAGGGGTGGAGGCAGGGAAGAAGGGGAGGAAAGAGGGAGGAGAGGCAGGAAGGGGAAAGGGAAGGAGGGCAGGAGGGAGGGAACGAAGGAGGAGGCAGGAGAGACGGAAGGAAAGTGGCTTTGCGGGGGGGGACGGTGACATGCCTTGAACTGAGAGGGATGGAAGAGACAGACGACAGAAACAGAGACAGAGACATCAGGAGAGGGAGGGGGAGAGAGAGAGAGAGAGGCAGAGAGAGACGGGGAGAAAGAGGCAGAGGGACACAGAGGCGGGGGAAGCCAGGACAACAACTAACACCACCGGGATGCTAAAAACTCAGTTTCCTGCTGCAAAGAAAAGGCTCATCCCCAAAGTCCTGGTTTCAAAGGGAAACAGGATCAAGGAGGACTCAGAGGCCCCGTGGCCAACGACATGAAGGGACCCTCTAACACATGCCAAGGACCGGCATGATGCTGGAACACAGACACAAAGAGCTCAGTTTACGCTCGCTGCGACAATAGCTGGAAACAACTGTGCCAGTTGGAAGCCCGCTAGCCATCAGAGAGCTGCTTCTGAGCACTGCCAGCCGTGCAATATTTGCCATTTACCACCCGTGATCACATGAAAAACTCCTTCTCATAATAACCGGGCTCTCACCTCCCAGCCCTCCTGCTTCACACATATAACCCAGTTCCGTGACTTGCCTCACTGCCTACAGAGAGAACAGAAAGGACAGCCATCTCCATGTCGCCTATGTGGTACACTGTGCCACTCCACAGCTTGGCTCTCAAATCACTCACAAAAGCGTTTATGTGCATATTTTTGTGGAGACATGGTCCGTGGCTTTCCTTAGGTTTCCCAAGGGGTCTGTGACTCAACTCCAACGTTTGAGAATCACTGCTTTTGAGGCTGCTTCTCTCTCCTCTGTATGTTTGAAATTGTCCACAATGGAAACAGGGTTTCTCAGGGAAAAAATGAGAATCCACCTGCTCTGCCAAGGGATGTTAAAGGAGACTCCTTAGATTAGAAGGCAGTGGCGGTCCCATGGAGAGCTGACAGCTGAACACCATGCACCGGCACCGAGCCAACACGACAGTCACAACAGCAAGACATCCCCAGGAAAACACCGACCCTCTCTGACTCCCTGGCACAGACACTCCAGAGCCACTGGGAATCCTGCTCTAAGGCTTAGTGGACATCACAGTTGCCCCTGCCCCTACTGTGGCAGCCCCCCTGCAATGCAGGGTAAAGGAGAGTGAGCAGACCTAACCTTGGCTCCAGGGGTGTACCCTGATTGGCTCAATCCCTCTCCCTGGCCACAGTAATTGGTTCCAGTGGCCCAGGCTTGAGCCAATCAGAATTTAGCAAAGTGGGGGCCAAAGAGATTGGTTTAGGTTTGGACAGGGCCCCAGTTTGGGCCAAGGGGACACCGGGGATTTCCACTCTTCTGAAAGAGCCTCCAGAAGGCCAGGCTCAGTGGCTCAGCCTGTAATCCCAGCAATTTGGGAGGCTGAGGTGAGTGGATTCCCCGAGCCCACGGGTTTGAGACCCACCCAGGCAACTTGGTGAGACCTCATCTCTACAGTAAATTAAAAAAAAAAAAAAA